AGAGAGAGAGAGAGAGAGAGAGAGAGAGAGAGAGGAGGGGGGGAGGGAGGAATGTGAAAATTGCTTATTTTAAATACTTTTAAAGAAAAGGTTGCAGCTGTTTTACTTGGAGCGCTCGGTCTGATTTTTTTAAATATCAAAATATTTAAAAAATCGTAGTTCTAGCAACATTTATCAAGCATCAGAATAAGAAAATCGAGAATGAAAACAGTGCCACCTGGAGCATTTTTATTTGTTTTGGTTTATTTTACACACTAGCTTTTAACGGCCTCGGGTATCTTTTAACTTTCAATGGTTAAATCAGTTTCATTCTTTTTATCTCTTTTATTTTAATTTATATTATTTGTTTTTTGTGTCAAGACACAAGTCAAGATAAGTATATTTTCATTCTTTGCAAGAGGCCAGATAGGATGTGATATATGCATTGTACACTTTTGAGAATATACAGACTGAGGGGATCTCAGGTTTTCTTTGTGTTTTGTTTGTTTGCGTTTTATCCTTTTTACTTGTTTTAAAAGAAGAATGGACATATATAAATAGACTGAAAGAATGGAAGAAGGAAATGATCACACTGGCAATGATGATATTAAATGAAAAGTTAATTAAAGTATTATTAAGCTTTCTTCATACTTGCGGAGTTAAGAGCTTCAGAGTCGTAATGGGTGGGTCATGCTGTAAAACGCCTGCTACTACTTTTTAAAGCAGCTCCCCTGTCTGAATTACACTCTGCAAGACCCGCGTTGTAGTTTGAAAGTGTCTTAGCTGGGGTAAACACTAGTTTTATCAGCGCCGCTGCCCGCACCACTCAATTGTCAATTTCCCGAACATTCACCATTGACAATAATGATGATAATTATGATAATAATGGCAATAATAATGATAATAATGATTTTATAATTTTAATGATAACTTTGATAATACCTGAGAAATAGCAATATAGTAGCGAAAAGAGGGGGGGGGGAGTATGGCTTACTGACAAAATATGTTACACGTCAAAAGTCGTACAGCAATTTAGGGTGGTATGGTACTCATTAAGAAGGGTGAGGTTAAAAGGGTGAGTAAATGGAGTCAAGGCAGGATTAGCAAAAGGGGGAAGGGGCTGAGGTTAAGGGCGGTTCGGCCAAATGGATGTTACAAGTCTGTGAGATGTTTCAGTGTAGAAGAACTATCATGAGGCAACGACTGATTAAGGTAAAATGGATGTCGGTGTAGTAGGAGGGGAAGCATTGGCGAATGAGACTAGGGGGGAAGTATCAGGAGGACTGTCAGGAAGTGGAGAATGAGACTAGGGGGAGGTATCAGGAGGCCTGTCCGGAGGGGGAGAGTCCGAGGAAGGACACTGTCGAGACAAAAAGGAGTTGCGCGTGCACGAAGGAGGGAGCGAAGGGACAACGGGGGAAGAGGGAGGGTTGGTGTAGATGGAGCAGGAGGTGATGGGAGGGAGTGCGAGGAAGGATGTCGGCAGACACTTTGACGGTAGAGGAAATGGGGTAGAGAGATTGGAGGGCGGGTGAGGCATAGGCATGTTTTGTCTGATGCGATGGTTGAGCGAAAAGGACGAGGGGAAGGTACGGGGAAGAGAGAATGGAGTGTCTGAATTTAGCATAAAGGCTTTGACTGGGGGAAGGGAGAGGTATAAGTAATGGGCAGGAGGAACAGATACTGCGGTCTGTGGAGCAACTGTGCTGAGCAAGGTTGCCATAACGATAAACTTTCTGGCACTGACGGGGGAAGGGTTGACGTGGTCGGGCAGGAGAGGATCTCCAACATGAACTCCATTGGAAAGGCGAAGATTACAGAAAGTATTATGGGCAATACTGGTGTAGGATTTCCGGCGGCCTCTGGGAGGATTAGTGTCGCACTGCATTGACACTGCACCAACAAGGCAGGCGAGCAGGTCTTCCTCACAGCCTGACCTGTCTTCTTCGCAGACAGGACGATCACTCGGGGAGATGGAAGCAGTCTCGGCACAAGCGCTGAGGGACGGGTGACGCTGGTCAGAAATGGGCTTGCCAGTGAGGTTGTTAGAACAGGTAATCCACGAGTTTGGGCCAGTGACACATTAAAAAATTTAATTCAGAATACTTTATTCTTTGTTATAATGGTTATTCTAATTACATAAATACATATAAATATGATACACATATAATTAGTGGCAGCCTTGCTTTCGTTTTGAAACTTGATGTCACTGATGAAGAAAGAGATGTAATTTCTTTTAATATGTATTCGAGTTCCGAATGCTTCTGTTATGAGGTAGTTGGTTCTAGCCCACAGGTCTGCCGTGCCCTGTATCTGTACGTGATCCTGTGATATAGTTTACCGGTCTTGTTTGGATACAGGTCGTAT